TCCATGCTTGTAAACAAGATCACAGGGAAACCACCACCATCCAAAACACCACAAGGATTAGATGCGACGATGCAGTCAATGTCATCTACAGGATACTATCATACGATGCCACCACAGGTACAATTCCAACATGTTAATAGTAGAATACATCAAAGTTTGCATGAACATTTTAATATTATTTTTTCATTACATTATCACTTCTTTTTTTCCAGGGTTATTCTTATCCCACGCCCATGCAGTACTCACATGGTCCAGTTATATATGGGTCAAACGGACAAATGCAATCGCCTTCACAACTTTCCATGCCAATTATGCCGAACGACACGGTCACGTCGCAAACCTCATCGCCTAAAGAAACACCCACGCCGTTAGTACCATATGGGATACCTGCACAAAAACCATTAAGCCGACCGTCCTTTATTGTACCACCAGCAGATGTTCAGATCATCATAGACAAGATGGCGAGTTATGTGGCAAAGAATGGGCGCGATTTTGAAATGATCGTGAAGAACAAAGGAGATCCTCGATTCAATTTCTTGGAACTATCCCATCAGTATCATGGTTACTACGCGCACAAACTGACTGTGTATGAGGGTGCGATAAATCCGAAAGTGTTGACGGAGGAACAATTATTGCAGAAACAGGAACCACAGGAGGAGAAGCAGAAAAAACTGGAGGAACTGCAGAAGAAGCAACAGCGAATGGAGGAAGTTCAGAAGCGAGTGAAAATGATACAAGCAAAGAAAAAGAATGGAGACCCGAAAATGAAACAGAGCACAGGATCTGCGAAACAGATTACCACTGTATCGTTCTCCATCAAAAAGCCGAAAGATGGGGAGAGCACGGTAATCGAGAAAAGGAACGCGTTACCATTGGAGGAGAGCGATGAAGAGATGGAGAGCGACAAAAAGGATATTAACTCTAAGCCCAATTCGCCTGAAGATAGTACTGCCGATGCCAGTTTTTCGATTGCTATTGGAGACAAAGATCTACCGAAATTAGAGAAGAAACTGAAAAGCGATGACAAAGAATTGGTGGACTTGACGGATGATATTCTCGAGGATTGTCAGAAGGAGATCAGGCAGAAACAAGCACAAGAAGACAGGATCAAGGATAAGCTGGCAGCGGCCGCGCGAGATAAATTACTTTCTAAAGAACGACAATTGCAACTCGAAAGAAAAAAGAGAGCTGCTATATTTCTCAGCAACATTCAGACACCAGCACTTAAGACCGGTTCTACTACGGTGAATCCAAATTTTCGAAAGGATGATTCGGACGAAGTACACTCCGTGCCATCGCCATCTCTAGAGGACAATAAAGACAGATCTTCACAAGATATCAAAATGTGCAGTAATTCCTTAATGGATCGATTGAAGAGCGCGGACCTAAGCGGCAAGAGGTCGCGACAACGTTCCAGGAGTCGGAGCGGAAGTCGCACGGACAAGCACAAATTACATAAGAAACACAAGAAAAAGAAAAGTTCTCATCGAAGGTAATTGAAGTTATTTAATTGTAACATTGAGTGCAATATGAATAAAGCAATATAAAAGTTCAAATATTATTATATTTATTTAAAGAGATACAGGAAATAGATAAGATAATATGAACATCTAGGAGAAATATATACTATTTTTTTTATTATTATTATAAATATAAATTGGCCCATTAGTGCTTTTAATATACATTCTATCCTTGTTGAAATAAGGTCACATAATGTTCAAAAAATTACCATTCGATTTTAAATTCTCTTAGTAGTCATTTTTCTCAATTGTTTATATAAATTTATATAAATAATAAGGAAAGAAAATAAGGAAATTTATTTCTCACTCTATTTTCCAAAATTATTCTCTATCTTTGAGAACTTCAATATCTTTCTTGATCAATGCAATTGCCTAATTTAATCGTCGAATCATTTTATTTTCAAGAGCAGAAACAGATGAATGAGAAACAGATTTCCTTCTCCAATATCTTTTGGCAATTAGAAGATATTCTGCTAGAAGGATGATATAACATTGCATTGTAGCAGTTGCTACACTATTCGAGCATATGTCTTCCAATAAGGATAGAATGTAATAAAAATAAATGATAAAGCAACCTCTTATTTATAAAAGTCTATTTTCTGGATGTTATTTTGTTTATTCCCTTCATATATATATATATATATATTCATTGTAATTACATTATATTATTTATCTATACTTAAATTTTACCTTTAATGTGAATTCTGTTGAAACTATTTATTGCTAAATTTATAGCCCCTTGTAAGTTTTCTTTTTTTAAAACATCGCTTTTTAAAAACTGCACTATTATTAAATTCACATGAACGTTTCAGCAATTACGACAGTTCAAGTTCCTCTCGCTCGCACAGATCTAAGAAGAGCAAGAAGTCATCCTCGCGGCACAGATCACGCTCGCGCAGTCCCTCGCACAGACACCGACACAATTCACGACGGCGAGAGAGCAACACGAGCTATTCGGATTCCAGCTCGCCTTGAT